TATTTTTTATCATCACGACTATAATAACAAATTTAGTTTTTTTATACAACCTAAATTTAATTTTTTTTTTAATTAAAAAATATTTTGCAAAAGCATTTTAGTTGAAATGAATATATATGAAAAAAAAATTAATAAAATCCTTTTCTGGAAATAAGTAAAACCCAATTTCTTTTTTTTATGTTTCAATGTTTAAATGCATCGTTTAGATGTTCAAATGCATCAATGAAGAAGATTTAATTCGAAAAACCTTAATTAAAACACATGTTATAAAGAGTAATTTAATTGATATAACTGTGTATTTAAAGATTATGAACTAATTTAAAATATAACTTATTTGAAATATTCTACATAAAAATACAGGAAACATATAAATATTAAAACAATGCCCAAATTGCATAAACAAGTTTTTAAAGATTATAGAGAAAGAAAGAAAACTGAATTAAAAGAAATAGAAAAAGAACAAAGTAATATTTGTCGCCAACAATTAACGTCAGTGCAAAAATTAAAAAAAAAAAGAGCTTGCTAAATTACGACAGCATAAACACAGAGATCTTCAAAAAGCTCAAGAGACCGGGTGAATAAAAAAAAGCGATTGCTTTTACTTAGTAATTGGTCAGTTTTACGTTTTCAGCAGTTTTTTTTTGAATTTTTATTCACGTTAAGCTGAACAATTACTGAGTGAATTGCTTAACTTTATGTGAATAAAAATTTGTTCATAACTGCTGAAGATTTCATTTACATAAAATTTGTTCATAACTGCTGAAGATTTCATTTACATAAAATTTGTTCATAACTGCTGAAGATTTCATTTACATAAAATTTGTTCATAACTGCTGAAGATTTCATTTACATAAAATTTGTTCATAACTGCTGAAGATTTCATTTACATAAAATTTGTTCATAACTGCTGAAGATTTCATTTACATAAAATTTGTGCATAACTGCTGAAGATTTCATTTACATAAAATTTGTTCATAACTGCTAAAGATTTCATTTACATAAAATTTGTTCATAACTGCTGAAGATTTCATTTACATAAAATTTGTTCATAACTGCTGAAGATTTCATTTACATAAAATTTGTTCATAACTGCTGAAGATTTCATTTACATAAAATTTGTGCATAACTGCTGAAGATTTCATTTACATAAAATTTGTTCATAACTGCTAAAGATTTCATTTACATAAAATTTGTTCATAACTGCTGAAGATTTCATTTACATAAAATTTGTTCATAACTGCTGAAGATTTCATTTACATAAAACTCTGAGTAAAAGCAATTGCTTTTTTTTATTCACCCGGTCTCTTGAGCTTTTTTTTATTCACCCGGTCTCTTGAGCTTTTTTTTATTCACCCGGTCTCTTGAGCTTTTTTTTATTCACCCGGTCTCTTGAGCTTTTTTTTATTCACCCGGTCTCTTGAGCTTTTTGAAGGTATTGATATTCCTTGTTCTTCTTCTAGTCAAACGGAAGAAGTAGTCTATCATTCATGTTTGTCAGAAGCTTGTACTGTGAACTGCATTAATTTGGCTTTACCTAAGTCACCGCAAAAAGCAGATTTTGTCATTAAACAGTTAGCAATAGAAATGAACATCTTTTTACCATATATCAAAGATGAAAAAACACATCCGTTTATCTTCTAAAATATTCAATCATGTACTAGAGTTTTATAACCACAAAGAAATATCTTGACGGACTCCAGTTATGAAAGACTTTATAAAAGTTGATGTTGAAAATTTTCGAAGACGTTACTTGTTACTTAAATGCAGAAGAATTTAGTAGCGAGATAAATTTTTTCTAAATTTTGTGTTCTTCGTCCAGCTCAAGTACTCACATGTTCACAGAGGCGTCTTGAAACCTACCGTTTTCTAATTCATGAAAATTTTATTAATATATGCAGCACTTTATCCTCAAACCTTAATTTTGAACATTATTACACAAACTGGGTAAACAAATGGATTCTTTGCAGACCTCCAGATTCCAGATTGCCTCTTACTATCATGTAGCTAATTACAAATCGTCTACAGCAGGGATTGATCAAACAGTCTTTGTATGCAACATGTACAGAGTTTTTGAAAATGCTACCTCGATTTTGGATTCACCATTTAATTAAATATCGCCAAGCGCCTGTTTATCGCCACTAAATAGATAATAATATGGATAGAATTATTAATATGAATTATTAAAATACACTTTGATTTTAGCCAAAACTATAACTGTATTCATCAAGAACAAGTTCAAAGTGCTCAAATAACAATCTTCACTGTTGCTGTTTATGATAAAGATTTGAAAAATATGATTGCTTATTTAATAGATAAAAATAGTCGCTGCAAAATATGGGTCAGCGTTTTCCATAAATTAACTTTTCAGGTATTTTTATTAAACAGTTTAATTTTTAAATCTTTTATTTTTATCTTTGAGAGATGCAAAACATTTCTAATATATTTTTTAAAGGCTTATGCAACCAATTCTATTATACACAAAGTAAATTATGGAGTAATGGTCCATCTTCTTAATTTAAAAACCGCTTTATGGTAAAATTCCTAAAGTATTGTCATGTGACTTTTAATATTCCAACTTTCGAGTGGAATTTTTTTGCTACAGCCCACGGAAAAAAAGCCATTGGTGGAGTATAAGGAACTTTAAAAAAAATAGCATGACAAAAGGTTAAAGCAAGACAAGTTATTATTCAAAATGCGTGTCAGTTTTATGAAGCTATATGCAAAGATTTGACGGTAAATTTAATATATTTGATATATTTAAATTGATCAACATTATAGTCAGCTAAGCGATACTTTACTACTAGCAGAAAAGGTTGAAAATATATGACTTTACCATTACTGGATAGTTAATGGTAAAATATCACCAATATCAGATGAATAACATAGCAAACAAAAATCGTTATTTAGTATATTGATTTGTTTTGTTTATTTAAATGTCTTTACTATTGCAATTTACTAAAGTGATTTGTTACGTTTTTTTATTAAAAAATTGTTGATGTATCTTATTTTTCTAAAGGTATTGCTAAACATTTGGCATTGCTAACATATACCATAATGCTACCTAAAATTTAATGTTATCTGATGGTACAATAATTGTATTATAGTTAATATCTAAGACTATATGGAATGACCCTTAACACTAAAATCACTTATTGCCTTTTATATACTTGGTTAAAGTTCTTATTTTATTATTATTTTCTGTTGTTATTTAAAATTCTTCTTCAAACTGTTTTTTTTTTTTTTTTATTCAATTTTTGTCATTAAATTTTTTTTTATTAAATCTTTTTATAAAACCTCTAAAAATTTTGCCGCCAAATTAATATATTTGCCGCCAAATTAATATATATAAACAAAATTTGCTATTTTATAATAATTTTTCATAATAATAGTTGATAAATAAATTATTATTTTATTTGTTAATAATTTTTATTAGATAAAAACTCAACTGCAGTCGAAATCAAGTTCTGCTATTGCTGTTGGCACTCAACACGATATAACGAATCTATCTTCAGGTATTATCTCTATATACCGAGAGCATGGCGTTAGAGGGTTATGGCGAGGTGCTTCTGCATCTATGGTACGAGTAACGGTCGGATCAGCGACACAATTGTCCGCTTTTTCGAAATCTAAAGACTTTTATTCACGTAACAATATATTTGAACCTGGAAGTTTTATGCTTTCTGTTTCATCCAGCATGACGGCTAGTGTTTTTGTTGTTTTAGCTATGACTCCTTTTGATGTTATATCTACACGACTCTATAATCAGAATGTTAATTCTTCTGGTATTGGACTTAAATATACAAATTTTTTTGATGTTTTTGTTAAGGTGTTTGCTAAAGAAGGTTTTTTAGGATTTTATAAAGGGACTTTTGCACATTATTTTAGGCTAGGACCACACACAATAATAGGATTAGTTTTGTGGGATTCCATTCGAAAGTACTTTGGGTGATTTAAATTTAGTTTTGATTTATTTTAAGTGATTTTTGCATTTTAGCACTTAAACTTTTAAATAATTTCATCTTTATTTCATTTATTTTAATATTCTAAAGTTTTGTTTTATTATTAAGGAAATAGAAATGACATATTAAATAGGGAAATTGTTTTTTTAAAAATATATAACGTGTGAGGTTATTTGACACCGCATATGGTTTCTGAGACCCAATTTTATAGCATAACCTATTAGATTAAATTTAAACAAAATAACTAATGATTTTTATTTCTTAAGAAAGGTTATATGTTATAAATGTGTTGTAGCTAAATTTTATATGAATTTTATATATATATATATATATATATATATATATATATATATATATATATATATATATATATATATATATATATATATATATATATATATATATATATATATATATATATATATAGTTGTATTTTTTATTTATATCTATTGTAAAAAAATATCATTAGATGAATTCATATTCAACAAATCAGTTAAATTTCAACTACATTTCACTATCCAATTCAATGAAATCTAAATAGTTAATAGAAATTAAGTCTTTATCAGAAGTTTCATGTTCGCTGTCTGGTTTTGCAAGCAAAACCAAAAAATATCGTTTTATTTAAAAAAAAAAACGAAGTAAACTCGTTTTTTTTTTAATAAAACGATATTTTTTTATTTTCGTCATTATGATCAGGTAAAAACAAAAATTGCACAAGGAATGGGCAAACACAGTCGGAAACCACTCAACAAGGTTCAGAAATGTTTAGATTTTCTAGTTTTTCGAATGTACTATGAATTACTCTCTCGAAGTAGTTCCAAATGTAGTCTCCCATCATGTTTTCGTTATACTTTCCTTAGTAACGTCGTTAAAAGTCTAATATATCTTGATGAAAGCGCTCGCTTTGCTCCTCGGAGTTCTCCTTTAATTTGTCGAGATGATATGGACTTTCAGAGACATTCTGCATCCCATTTTGGAGTAATTCTTTATGAGAGTCTGCGCTAACTCCACATATTTTTCACTTTTATGATTACCTAGAACAACTATTACCCTAAACAACTGTAACGAAACTCCTCTAAGTCTCTCTCTCTCCGCCCTGTTTAACAGATTTGCGGAATCCTCACATTTTATGATCTTTGATACAGCTTTGAGGTTCTAGGATGAACTGTCTATCAATAGGTGTCATTCAAGAGGATTACATGCAAAACCTATAGCCTGGAGAATAATTTAAGAAAAGGAAATTTTAAAATATGGAACGATGTTAAGATGGACGTATTTTTCTACAGTTCACGACTAATGACAAAAATTTGTAAACTTCTTTAAATGAATTTGATCTAAAGCATTGCAGTTTTATGATAATAAATTTTAACACATCTAAGCGACAAGCAACTCTTCAGTTTACCTTCAAGTGTTTTCTTGCAATATTCGCATGTGAAATGCGGTACCCAAAATATGTTACTCAATTAATAGATAATACCATGAGTAAATTAGATAAAACAAACAAACCAAAAAAAAAAAGAAATAAAAAAGTAAAAAAAAGCGATTGGTAGATTAGTAGACAATGATTATAGTCCGTAATTATTAATTGTAACTCCCTCAAATTGAGGTTTAACTTTATATGGTCATAATTTTTGATATGGTCATAAATTTATCGATTAATTTAAGTCTAATTAAGAATAGTACAAAAAATTATTTATTAACTTATTGCCCCATTCGATATGAAGTCAAAGGGCTTTTTCGTTTCCAACCTCCAATCATCGCAATTTTTTTCGCAAAGCTTCATTATTTGACATAAGTATAAACATTCAAATGTTTAGAGTTCGCTGCATGTATGGAAGTAAGCTCAAATATAAATAAATCCTGGTTTGGCGTGAGTATAACGGTCTTTAAAATATATAAGACGTGCTACATGCTTCTGCTGACAATAAAGATTTTGAAGTTTATTTTTATTTGTACTACCCCAAGCAATGTTTGCATAGCTTATGTGACAATGAGTAAATGAGTGATATAATTGTACTTAAGTATGTTTATTTAAAACATGTCTTGCTTTGTACAATATTCCTATACTTTTTGAAATTTTACTTGACAAGTTTTTAATGTGATTTTTCCATATAAGATTTTCATCTATACAAACACATAGAAAGTTGGTTACTGTTACTTGTTTAATTTGTATACTGTTAATAATAAGATGAGGCATGTTAATTGGTAGTTTATGTTTTTTGATGAGAGGATGGAAAATAATTGATTTAGTTTTATCAGTGTTAAGAGATAAATTGTTGGTCTTAAACCAGTCAGGTATTTTGATTAATTTGATGTTCACGTAATGAAATAGAGTAGGAATGTTTTTGTGTGACAGAAATAAATTAGTGGCATCAGCATATGTTTTTAATATTCTTTCTAAATGTTTTTAATATTCTTTGTTTCATGTACAAATGTAAAACTAACTCCAACCGAGTTTCTTTCCATAATTTATATACCTTGAAAGATAAAAATAAACACAGCTTAAGAAATGATAATTTCATTCGCCAACCCTTTTTTCAAACTAATATTGGAAAATCAAACATTTCATTTTGTGGAGCTTTGGAATAAAATAGTTTTAAAATATTTTTTTGTTTATTTATATTTTCTAGTTGTAAAAAGGTTTTTTAATCACTACGATTTAGTTTATTTGTATAACGACTTTTATACTTTTCATTTTATTTGTAGAATCGCCTCTGTTTGTATGTCTCATCCTCTGTTTGTATCTTAAATATCGCCTCTGTATGTATCTTAAATATTGCAATAAAGAACAAAGAAAAAAAAAACTCATTAACAAAGAGTTCATTTATTTCTATTCAGAATGCGGCAAAAGTCTCAGTGATGATAATGTTCTTGCTTGTAATCTCATGTCTAATTGTGTAATTAGGAATGGAATTAGCTATGAAAAAAATACGAAAAGGCGTAAAAACATAAGTAGTTCTGAAGATGAAACAGTTATAGGTATATTAAATTTTATCTGTTTCAAAGTAAGAAAAAATCCTTTTATTTTGTTTGCCGTTATGCATTGCATTATTAGCTCGTTACATCAAAGTGTGAACATGCATTCACTCTTGATGGATTTAATGATTGGAAGAACAGATAGGTCTTGAAAAACACGAGAAACCAATTTTTATAGAGGTTTTTTTGAAAAAAATCTCTTTATTAAACAAAAACCAGTCAGTTTTTGTTTAATAAAGAGATTTTGTTATTCTTCATGGAAAAATGCAACAGATAGAGAAAAACAGAGTCTGTTTAAATAGAGAAACAGACTCTCCAAGATATCTGACAGGGCATGGCGTACGAGGACATTATGAGTTCAAAGGTAATTTACGAAAGCTACTTGAACTTTTGTCAAATGATGAGTGTCAAATCAACATGAAGTACATGAAGGGTTTATAGGTATGTATGAATGTGAAAAAACTGATTCAGAGACCATAACTAAAGTTATAAAAGATATTTTAATTTGATATAATTTTTCATTGATTAGTCTTAGGGGAAAAACTTATGAGTGAGTTTTTGATCTTCAAAGTAAAATATCTGATCTTGCGACTTAAATAATGCATGAAAACCCTAAAGACCTATCTATTCACTGCTTAAACCGTTTTAATCTGATACTTCAGAAAGTAGATAGCATCTGTCTTATGGTTAGAAATGCACTAAATTTAGTACACGTTTAATTTAAAATTCAGTTTTAATTAAAATAAAATTTAGTTCATGATTTAGTTCATGCATCTCAAAAATGATTAGATATTTTTGAAAACATTCAATCTGCATTGGCTCAAGAAAGCAACTAAAGCCCTTATGTCCTACACGTTGGACAGCGCGTAATAAGTCAATAGACGCTGTCCAGGAAAATACTGCAATCTTTGATACATTAGAAGAGATAGCATTTGAAGGAGAGTCAAATGAGGCTGACAAAAAAAGCTCCAGATATATTAGCTTAAATGAAGCAGTTTGACGCGTTTCTTGGTTAAAATTAGTACAATTAGTGTTTTCTTTGGTAGAAAATGTTGCTACAGTTTTTCAAGCAAAAGATATTGATGCCCAATGCGCCTGTCACAGCATACAAGCATTAAGTACCTATTTTGAAACTCTTCTTTGAACATTTAAATGGTCCTTAATAAATTGGTAAAAAAACGTTCTTCAAAAGTTGACCTGGTACTTGAAAAAAGCAAAGTTGTATAAAAATATTGAAAACATCAATTATTTTGTATGAAAACTTATATTTTAAATTTTTTTTTTAAAAACGATTTTAAATTTTTTTTTAATTTGTTTTTTATAAAACAAATATGAATTTTAAAACTTTTACATAATTTTGCTTTTTTAAGTACTAAGTTAAATATTCAAAAGTCTTTGGACCTTGGGGAGGTGAATTTAAATTAAAAAAAATAAAAAAATAAAAATTTCTATTTATTTAAAACCTAAGCGATTGAGATTTTTATAAAAAATTACGACTAAAGTTTTACTTAAGTCGTAATTTTTACTAATTCGCCAATTTACAGTTACCCAACTACGTTGGGTAACTGTAAATTAAAAAGATAAAAAATGTAAATAAATGATGATGAATAAATATAGTATATATATTTTCTATATCATGGTGATGAATATTTATTCTGTATATATTTACTATACTGAACTAATTTTGCATGATGGCAGTTCAATATGATGGCGGTACAATATGATGGCGGTACAATATGATGACGGTACAATATGATGGCGGTACAATATGATGGCGGTAGAATATTTAAATATATTAAAGTAGTAGAAAAACAACTAGAAAATGTTACTTTGCTTGTAATAAAACTCTCTAACCAAATATTATAAGGGCAGCGTATGTAGCATTTACGGTATTAGTTTTAAAGTAAAAACCTGTGGCTCTTTGTAAAACTAAATTTTTGCGTTCTTAGTTATAATTTTATAGAAACTTTTATTTTATTTTGAAAATAGAATAGTTTAATATAATAGTTTATAATAAAATAATAGTTTAACTTTTTTAATCGTTAATATAATTCTTTTTTATTTACTGTATCGGTATTAAAAGCTTTGTTTCTGTTCTGGAAATATATTAGTATTTATTATTATTATTCGTTATTACATATTTTGTCGATAAAAAA